TTATGAATTTTATTATTATTGCAAAATGCTTGTTGTGACAAATAGTAAATTTTTACAAAATGCCACAGCAGAGTGCTAACACGTAAAAGCCCTAGATACATGTTAATGCTTTTCTAATACATGTAGAATCATCAAAGTGTAGGAAACAAAACTCTTAACAGGCAGGACAGAATTTAGTCACCTTCTTGGTTACTTATTTCAGAATTAACAAGACTTACTATCAAAAATTGTTATATTCAGTGATATATGCTGGTAAAGGTTTAACAATCAGCTCTCCAGCAGGGGGAAAAAGGCAAGGATTTAGAGTATTTACATACTCTCACCCAGCTGATTTCAATCAGTATGACATAGGGCATTGGGAAGAAGTGAGCAGTCGTACACAATTATTTTTTCTTTTGTTACCTGTGCCTTTGGTATCCTATTGAAGAAATCACAGCCAAATTCAATGTCATGAAGCTTTTGTTCTATGTTTTCTTGTAAGAGTTTTATGGCTTTAGGTCTTAGGTCCTTGATCTTTTTCAAGTTAATTTTTATATATAGTGTTAGGTAAGGGTCCAACTTCATTTGCCTGTGGATATTCAGTGTTTCCAGTACCATTTGTTGGAAAGACTGCTCTTTCCCCCATTGAATGGTCTTGGCACTGTAGTCAAATATGTCAGGGTAGTTTCTTTATAGTTTTAGTTTGTGGAGTGTTTTTATCATGAAAAGATGTTGAATTTTGTCAAATGCTTTTCTGCATCAATTGAGATGATCATGTGGTTTTTTTCATTCTGTTCATTTGGTGTGTTATATTGATCAATTTTCATATGTTAAACCATTCTTGCATTCCAGGAATAAATCCCATTTGGTTATAGTGTGTATAATCATTTTAATATGTTGCTGAATTTGGTTTGCTAGTATTTCTTGAAGATTTTTGCATCAATGTTCATGAAGAATATTGGTCTGTACTTTTCTTTTAGTGTCTTTGTCTGGCTTTGGTATCGGGGTAATGCTGGTCTCGTAGAATGAGTTAGGAAGTGTTCCTTCCTCTTCAATTTTTGGAAAAGTTTGAGAAGTATAGGTGTAAGTTCTTTAAATGTGTGATATAATTTAACAGCAAAGCCTTCAGGTCCAGAGTTTTTCTTTGTTGAGAGGTTTTTAATTACTGATTCAATTTCCTTACTAGTTATAGATCTATTCAGATTTTCTGTTTATTTCTGACTTAGTCTTGGTTTGTCCTCTTTCTAGTAATTTGTCCATTTAATCTAGGTTTTTCAATTTGTTGGCATACAATTGTTCATAATACTCTTTTATAATCCTTTTTATCTCTATAGAATCGCTAGTACTGTTTCCACTTTCATTTCTCATGTTTGCAGTTTGTGTCTTCTCTTTTTTTTCTTAGTTTGTCCAGCTAAAAGTGTGTCACTTATTGGATATTTTTGAAGAACCAACTTTTGGTTTCATTGATTTTTCTCTATTGTTTTTCTCTTCTGTGTTTTGTCTCTTCTCATCTTTATTATTTCTTTCCTTCTTCTTGGGTTTGGTTTGGGTTAGTTTGTTCTTCTTTTCTAGTTCCTTAAATTGTAAAGTTATGTTGTTGATTTGAAATCTTTCTTATTTTTTAATGTAAGTGTTTATAGCTGTACATTTCCCCCTTAACACCACTTTCACTGTGTCCTGTAAGTTTTGGTATGTTGTGTTTTGTTTTCATTCTCTAAGTATTTCGTAACGTCACTTGTAATTTCTTCTTTGATCAGTTGGTTGTTTAAAAGTGTGTTGTTTGCCAGAATTTTGTGAATTTTCCAGTTTTCCTTTTGTTATTGATTTCTAACTTCATCCCATTGTGGTCAGAGAAGATACTTTGTATGATATCTGTATTTTTCGATATATTGATATTTAATTTGTGGCCTTAATGTATGGTCTGTCCTGGAAAATGTCCCACGTGCACTTCAGAAGAATATATATTCTGTTGTTGAGAAGAGTGTTTTGTATATATCTGTTAGGTCTAATTGGTTTATTGTGTTAAGTCCTCTATTTCCTTATTTATCTTCTGTCTAGTTGTTCTGTTGATTATTGGAGGGGGATATTGAAATCTCTAACTGTGATTGTAGATCTGTCTATTTCTCCCTTCAGTTATGTCGGTTTTTGCTTTGTATATTTTGATGGTCTGTCATTGGGTGCATAAATGTTTATTGTTATATCTTCTTGCTCTTTTTAAACCTTTTATTAATATACAGTGTTCTCTTTTGTCTCTTGTAACTTCTTTGATTTAAAATCTGTTTTGTCTGATAGTAGTATAGCCACCCCTGTTCTCTTTTGGTTACTATTTTCATGGAATGTTTTTTTCCATCCTTTCACTTTCGACCTGTTTGTATTTTTGGATCTAACGTGAGTTCCTTCTAGGCAGCATATACTTTGATCACGTGCTTTTATCCATTCTGCCAATCTCTGTCATTTGATTGGAGAGTTTAATCCATTTACATTTAAAGTAATTACTGATAAGGAGGGACTTACTTCTGTCATTGTACTATTGTTTTCTATATGCCTTGTAGCTTTTTTATCCCTCACTTTCTGCATTCCTATCTTCTTTTGTGTTTAGTTGATTGTCTGTAGTGAAATATTAAAACGTTTTTCTCATTTCCTTTTGTGGATATTCTATAGCTATTTTTTTTTTTGTGATTACCATAGAGATTACATTAACAAGGTAAAGTTATAATAACACTCTTAATTGGAATATATTCCAGCTTCACTTCAATAACATACAAAAACTCTGCTCCTTTACAGCTCCATCCCCACTGTTTTTGGTTGTCGCTGTCACAAAAGTATTTCTTTATACCTTGTATGCCCAGAAACAAACTAATACTTCTTTTAAATGCATTAGTCTCTCAAATTTTGTAGAAAACAATATTTGGGGTTACAAATCAAAGTTACAGTAATAACTAGCTTTTACACTAATAACTGTTTTTGTCTTTAAACCTGTTAATCTCTTAAATCTAATAGAAAACAAAAAGTGCAATTATAAACCAGTGTTACAATAATACTGCTTTTATCGTTGCCCATGTATTTACCTTTATTGAGATCTTTATTTCTCCATACAGCTTCAAGGTACTGTCTAGTGTCATTTCATTTCACCTTGTAGGACTCCTTTGAGCATTTTTGCAGGGCAGATCTGGTGGTAACAGACTCCCTCAGCTTTTGTTTATCTGGAATGTTTTTATTTCTTCCTCACTTTGAAAGATAGTTTTGCCAGATGCAGGATCTTTGGTTGACAGTTTTTTCTCTTGGCACTTTGAGTATATCTACCCACTATCTTCTGGCCTCCAAGGTTTCTGAAGAGAAATCTGATATTCTTATTTAGGATCCCTTGTATGTGACGATTCAATTCTCCCTTGCTGGTTTCAAGATTCTCTCTCTCTCTGTGTGGCTGTCTTTGAGTTCTTCATATTTGGAGTTTGTTGAACTTCTTGGATGTTTATATTGATATTTTTTCATTAAATTTGAGAAGCTTTCAGCCATTGTTTCTTCAGATATTCTCTCTGCCACTTTCTCTCTCTCTCTTCTTCTGCAGCTCCCGTGATGTGTATGTTGGTCCTTTTGGTGGTGTCCCACAGGTCCCTTAGGCTCTGTTTGCTTTTTTTCAATCTTTTTTCTTTCTGTTCCTCAGACTCAGGAATTTCTATTGTCATATCTTCAAGTTCACTGATTCTTTCCTCAGCCTGTTCAAATTTGCTTTTGAATTCCACTAGTGAATTTTTCATTTCAGTTAATTGTTCTTTTCAGCTCCAGCATTTCTTTTTAGAGTGTGTGTTTTGTTTTTTTGGCGGGGGAGGAGATTCTATCTCTTTTTTTGATATTTCCATTTTGTTCGTACGTCATTTTCTTGACTTTCTGCATATCTTCATTTAGGTCTTTGAGCATCTTTAACACTGTTTTTTTTTTAAAGCCTTGGTCTAATAGATCTGGCATCAGGTCTTTCTCAGAGATAATTTCTGTTGATTTATTATTTTTTTTCTTTCAGCAGGCCATAGTTTACTGTTTCTTTGTGTGCCTTGGGATTTTTTTGTTGAATGCTGGACGTTTGAATCTAACAATGTGGTAGCTCTGGAAATCAGATTGTTCCCCTTCCCCAGGGTTTGCTGTTTTTGTTATTTTGATTGATGTAGGTTGTCTCTGTGCCTGGAGTATAAACTTAAGGTCTTCTTATGTCTTTTTCTGAGCCTTTCCCTGGGTATGCATAGTCATTTTCTAATTTTTCCATATATGTAGTTGTTTTTGAATGTCCTAGTCTTTAACATCTGGCTCACAAAATGGGAAATACTGAAAAATGACAGATGAAAAAGGGTGCTGGTCCTTTGAATACCCTGGAAGTCACTTGGTTCTGATGAGGAGGGACTTAAAACAATGAGGGAAGGTATGACAAGAGTGGCTGCCCTCCTCTTTGCACTTCTGTGGTGAGAAGCAGTAATCAGTGACCAGAGCAAAGATCCCTGATATTTGGAGGACAGGGTCCTTTTTACCCACCCTTGCTCCCATAATTTGTGTGCAAGCTACTCCAGGAACACACACGTAGCTCCCTGCTATGTGGCTGGGTGTGAGGGATAGGTAGCTGCTACTGTGCTAATAGGTGAAACTGACTGAAATTAACTTCATTTTACTGTCCATGTCTTCCCCTGGAAGTTAAAAGCCTTTAACAGACTCCAGAGTTCCAGTATAGTTAAATCAGACATTTTGTCAGTGCATTTGTTGTCTAGGTGGGGAGACGGATTCCTGGTGCTTCTTACTCTGCCATCTTCCCAGAACCCTCTTTAATACCATCTTAATTTCTGTATTGAGTGACTTTGTGAAGTAGATTAAGTAGCAAGGCCTCTGTGTTAATATAGGGGGGAAATATTCTTGCTAAAATATAATTGAATACACCTTAAGTGAATACACTTAAATACGTACACCTCAGTTTGTATTAAGAGCTACATTAGATGCATTTGATATATGTATAGTAATTTGTGGCATTCATCTTTTGGCAGGTGGTTTTGGAATGTATGCTTAAAAAAGACCTCATTTACAATAAGGTCACTCCAACATTTCACCACTGGAAGATTGATGACAAGAAATTTGGCCTTACCTTTCAAAGTCCTGCTGATGCTAGGGCTTTTGATAGAGGCATTCGAAGAGCTATAGAGGATATTTCTCAAGGTAGGTTTTCTTGACTATTTTCTTGATTTGTTTATCAGTTAGATATGGTAGAGTAGAGAGACTTTAAGCAAGTGAGCTCTTGTGATATGTGATCAGGCTTTGAAAGCTCACTGTAAGTAAAGATAAAATAATGGGCTTCTTAGTCTGTTTTATATTTGTCACATCACAATATATTCCAGTTACATGTATTATCTTGAAGAGCCCATTTACAGTAACCTTCAGATAAGTAAAGTGTTTTAAAATAAGAGCTTGAAGAAGAGGGGAGAGCAGTCAGGTAGAACTTTCAAAATCCTTGTGTGTGTGTTATATTCAGTCATATCCTTGTTTTGGTAATGATAAAGAGAAAATTTCTAATAATCAAATACATGTAGACTCCAATTATTCTATGGCAAAATCCTTCTTAACTCTTTACCTGATTTTATTATTGAGGCTTGGCAGAGACCACAACCCTATCTATCCCTTTGTATATCTTACCAATCTGTTAAGATTATAAACTCTAAAGCTTGCAAATTTTAAAGGGAGGAAGAATGTATTTACATATAAGACTCGCCTCTGCTTAATTAAACAAAAAGAAATCACATTAAAACTCATTTCTTCCTCAAAAAGAAGTTATAACTAAAACTTGATTTGTTTTTCTGATTAAGAAGGAAAATTATTAATAGAAATAACCTTCTATATAAAGTAATTGAATCAAAATGTGTTCTCGTAATTTGTATATTTTGAAGATGGCATTTTAATTGGAATATTAGAAGAAATGAACTAATTATGAGACAGACCATAGGTAAGAACATGGAAATGCTTAGTACAAATCTGTACTGATAGTGTGTGAAACTGTGGCTAAATAATTTATTTACCCACTTTAAAAGCTTAGAGTTTGGTAAACAAACAATCTTTAATTTTTGATTCTGAAAAAAATTCCATGAAGTGATACGTCATTTTTTTTTTTTTTATTACAAGAACCTGTAAATTCTCCCTAGATCAACGTTCTCAATGTTGGCTATGCATTTGAATCCGTTGGAAGCCTTTTTTTTTTATAATTTTATTTATTTATTTATTTATTTATTTATTTATTTATTTATTTTCCCCAAAGCCCCAGTAGATAGTTGTAAGTCACAGCTGCACATCCTTCCAGCTGCTGTACGTGGGACGCGGCCCTGGGGCCAGAGAAGCAGTGCATCAGTGCGCGCCCGGGATCCGAACCCGGGCCACCAGCAGCGGAGCACGCGCACCCAACCACTAAGCCATGGGGCCGGCCCCTTTGGAAGCCTTTTGAAAAATAGAATAACTGGTCTGCACTCCAGACCACTTGAATCAAACTATCTGGGGAGTGGAGCTGAGGCATTCCTTATTTTTTTTTTTTTTTAAGTTTCTTTCCATTTCAAATGTGATGAGGACTTGTCAAATGACTGTGTTATGAATTTAGAGAAAGAAATGATTGTGGATCCTCGAATTCTCCAGCGGTGGTTGTGGTTCTCAAACTACTGCAAGAAACTTAAAAATAAAAAATACGTGATACCCTTTGCCTCACCCCACAGAGATTCTGACATAATTGGTTTGGGACTATCCTCTGGCATCAGTACATTTTTTAAAAGTTCCCTAGTTGATCCTGATATTTAGCTAGTGTTGAAGAACCAGTACTTTAAACAGAAAATCATTATCCATGGCTGCTGGAATTTATATGGTTTATTTAAAGTTTTGAATTACTTTTAAGCCCGACACTCATGTCCCCATAAGAGCATACTTCTTTCACTAGGATCAAATAGGTTGGATTTAATGTTTTAAAAGACAGTTTATAAGGAGGAGCTTACAAACTCCTAGATAGGTAGAACGGACTATAGTACTCGGCCTGTCTCATTATTTTTTGAACATTTTCTTAAACATACTGGTTAGCATTTTTATCAGCCATTGTATAAACTTTCAACAATCCTATTAAATTTCTCTTACTTAGCCCTCCATGACAATAAGAATAAACTATGCAACCCTTTCTAAAGGGCAGATTTCTCCTCATCTCCATGCTAGTGTGTCTCTCAAGGGTAGCACAAACTCAGAATACTTGCTAGGACAAATCCCTCCTTGTTAATTTAGTGGAATTAAAGGCACTCTTGAATACCATGAAAACTTATGCAGAGACATTAATGCATAAAGGTCAATAGCAACAATTGGCCGTTGACTATCAATAGTGGATTAATGCTCAATTGTTTTCTTTTGTTACTAAAGCAACTAAAATCCTAGTTCTGGATACTAAATACTGTTTCCTGGATCAGAGTATTTAGAAAAAATGAACAAATTATATATGTAGGCATCACCCGAACGCTAGAGGGGTGTGGTGCATACACTGCCTAGCAGTTTAAGTATTTAGGAGAAATCAGGGGCAGGGCTTGCTAGGGATAATATACTTTCACAGAAAATATCTCTTTAGTAAGTAACGGGGAATGTATTCGCAGAAGAGGAAACGATCGCTTTATTCTCTGCTAACAAGTATGAGTTTTCTCAGCTGTAAGTGGCCAATACCTGACTGGTTGCCAGGCTGCCCAGAATGATCTATGATCTTTCTCCTGCAGTATTACAATGATATAATCAGTTAGTCAATAATACTAAAATCTAAGACAAAAATCCTGTGCTTAATTAACTTTTACCTGTTTTTTTAAAGGATGCCCAGCATTTAAAAATGAAGCTGAAGGTGCAGAAGATGACTTACAAGTAAGTGGTTTGGCCTGAAAGGAATTTCTAAACATAAAGAATATAGAGGAAACTAGCCTTAACAAATAAACAGCTCATATGAATTTTTAGGAAAATTTCTAAGACACTCTATTTGTCAGGAAATACAGAGAAATAGAACCAATATGGGGCGTGAGTGTGTGTATATATTTATAGAGAGAGGGGGGTTGTTTTGGTTTGGTTTGTTTGTTTTTTAGATTAATTGGCTAATATGATTGAGGGCTAGCAAGTGCGAAATCCACAGGGTAGGCAGGTAGGCGTGCATGCTGAAAGTTCTGGCATGAGTTGATGTTTTGGTCTTGAGTCAGAAGGCGATCTCCAGGCCAACTTCCTTCCTCTTTGGGAGACTTCAGTCTTTTCTTTAAGTCTTTTCGTAATGAGGCCCACCCACTTTATGGAGGGTAATTTTTTTTTCTGAGTCTACTGATTTAAATCTTAGTCACATCTGAAAATTACCTTCACAACAACATTTAAACTGGTGTTTGACCAAACAGTTTAGTACCATAGCTTGGCCAAGTTAACAGATAAAATTAACCATCACAGATACCCCATTCCATAGGCATGATACTTTTATTACTTGTATAAAAAATTCACAGAAAAGGAATTGCAAATTGTTAATAAGCATGTGGACACCCTTCTGTTTTATCTTACTGGTAAGCAGCAGGTAGTGTAAATTAACATTTTTTTAGTTACTGAAAGTTTAAAAGTTGATACTACCCTATAGTAGGTCTATCCATGAGATTGACAGAGAGGTGCCCTGCTGGAGAAAATATAGATTGGTTGATTTTTTTCTAGAAAGCAGTTTGGTGATGTTTACCAAGCCTTAAAAATAGAAACATTCACACCTGTTGGTCGAGTGAATGAATTTCCAGTAATCTATACTAAGGGAACAGAGGTGTATAAAAGTTTTTTACACACACAGGTTTGGATGTGTGTGTATAAAATATTGATAAGAAAAAATAAGAATCTGTCTAAATAGAAGGATGAGAATGGTTGAATTAATTAAGGTATATCTTTGTAATGCAACCAATAAAATTTTTATTTATTAATTTGCTTGCAATATATTGAGTATTAGAAACAAAAATTATATGATGTTATCATTACTCAGCAAAAATACTAAATATTTTTATTGGTTACTTTTGGATTGTGGGATTCTGAGCTGTGTATGGCTTTCTTTTCAGTACTTTTTTATATTTTTCAAGTTTGCTGCAATAAGTATTAATACTTTTAGGATAACAGTGAAAGAACCCAAATTTATATATATACATTGTGTTAGTAATCAATTATTCATGTTATTATAAAAATAGTTGTGACTTAAGACATGGCAAAATGTTTCATGAACATTTATAATCAGAAAATATAAATTGTTTTATTTTAGAAAATTTGAGAAATATAGCAAAGTTTAAAGAAAAAACATAAATATGCTACGATCCATGATAACTATATTTTATATACGTATTTTTAAATATAGCCTTTGGATTTTTTATGATGCATAAATATGTATACGCATGTTATTATGATATCATTATACTATAGTCTGGTTTTTTTCCACTTTAGTACGTAAAAATATTTCTATGTCCTTAAATATTTTTTCAAGTTTGTAATTTTTAATGTTTTTGTTTTTATCTAATTTGTTTTCAATAGATGTATCCTAATTACCAATACCCCTATTATACATTATTTTATTGATTTTTAATTATTTTAAAAATATAGTGAATTGCAGTTAATTAAGCATAAGAAATAAGTAGTAAAATGCAAAATAAATATTTTTTTTAGTTAAGTCTTTTCCAAGGTTCCATTTTATTCTGGTATCAATCAAAATATGGGACTGAAAATAGGGAAACATTTTCTGAATTGCTTCCTATGATGAAAATAAATTTGATTAAAATTCAACATAAAAAAGAGTTTTCACATACCAACACTACATGCCTTACATAATGGTTATTCATTTTAATATTCTTCTGATTTGATTTCACCTCATTTCTATATATAACATTGTATAAAAGAAAACCTGCTGCAGGACATAATTTTTTGTAAAACTTTGTGCATATATAGCAAAAAAGGATTTTGTAAAAACCATTGTCTGTTTTCATAATCATGTTTACTACTGGTACCATATATGTCGAGGCTTTGGTATAGAGTAAAAAATGGAAAAGTTATAAATGAGGAATAGTAAATTTATCACAGAGGCAGACAAAATTGTAAAAAGTTAGAAACAGAGAGGAGGAGGCTAGTAAAGAGAATTATATATAACAAAAGCAGCAAGAGTAATTATTCTGTTAGCTCCTTGGGATCTCTGCTTCATAGTACGATATCTCCGGTGTCATCAATCCAACATGTTACACACAGGCACATACACACCCCTAAAAGAGTTATATTTTAGCTTCATTAGACACTAAAGCACTTGCTTGGTTTTTATTTTCATAATAAAATAGAAAATATGCAATGTCACTAGAGACTCTACTAATAGAGTTGCATTTAAATATAATTTCACTAAGAGCAATTTTTATATCATTTTAATTCTTGGTTTTTATATACTGTGATGTTTTTAAAATAGATTCTTAAATTACATTCCTTTTGGTGGAATCTAATTCTCCTCCCCTTGAGTGTGCACTATACTTAATGAATTATTTGTTAATAAAGAGAATATGGTAGAAGTCACAGAGTGTGATTTCCAAGGGTAGGTCATAAAAGACGTTACAGCTTCTTTCTGGCTCTTTTGGATCACCCGTACTGGAGAATGCCAACTGCTATGTCATAAGGACACTCAAGCAACCCTATGGAAATATCCATTTGGTGAGGAACTGAAGCCTCATTGCAATAACCATGTTAATGAACCATCTTGGAAGCAGGTCATTCACCTCAAAACGAGCCTTCGGATGACTACAGCCATGGCTGTTGTCTTGACTGTAACCTCATTAGGGACTGTGAGCCAGAACCACTCAGCTAAGTTGCTCTCAAATTTCTCACAGAAACTGAGATAATAAATGTTTGTTGTTTGAAGCTGCCGTTTTGTGGTAATTTATTATGCAGCAATAGCTAACCAATAAACGAGCAGAAATGGAAAATGATTAGAACGAAAGCTACCGTTTGTAGTCATGTTCATTTAATCCTTCTCTCCGTCCCATTCGCAACTTTTTTAGATGATATGTAGCTTAGGCTAAATTCCATCTTTCAATAGAAGATTGTATTATATCTTAGTTTTATAGCCCCTTTATAACTAAAAGTATGTTCAAGTAGAAAAAAAATCATAGTCCTTAAAAAAATTCTGAGCTTGATTAAATAATATATTAACCTTAATTATACAGAAAAAGTAGGGGGGATACTGAAATGCTAGCAAATACATGAGCTAAATTTTTCTGAACATCCTATTTGAAAATTTTTTTTAAAAAATCAACATCTAGAGGGCTGGCCCCGTGGCTTAGCGGTTGGGTGCGCGCGCTCCGCTGCTGGCGGCCCGGGTTCGGATCCCGGGCGCGCACCAACGCACCGCTTCTCTGGCTATGCTGAGGCAGCGTCCCACATACAGCAACTAGAAGGATGTGCAGCTATGACATACAACTATCTACTGGGGCTTTAAGGGGACAAATAAATAAAATCTTAAAAAAAAAAAATCAACGTCTAGAATTAAAATTGCCGAAGAAAACTCTTAAATTTACCTTAGTACCATTTATTTCATGATATGTAAAAGTTTTCGCATGTCATTCTTATTTTGGAATATGTTAGAGGTTATACAGAATTCTAATTTATTTAATCTCTTTGTTAAGGATAAAGTACATCATTGTTTTGTAATTCACCTATGGGCTTGGCATAAATAAACATTTTGAAATTATTTTGAGTACAAGTTGACTGATTTATGGTAGTGGTTATATAAGGTTTAGTATATTGGTGACTATTTGCAAAGACAACTAAAATGGTTTTAAAGAATAACCTATTATCTAATTTGTTTAACCCAGAGGAAGTAATGATTATATTTAGATCATAAATGTCTTGAAGGCATTAAATATCAGAGCAGAAATCCTCTCCATTTTGAATATTTATAAATTTGTTTAACAAATATTTGAGCACCTATTGTATTCCAATAACTACACTAGACATTTGGTTATTTGCTGGTGGACAACTTTCTGCTTTCAACAATTCAGTGTCTTCATCAGTTATCATAAATCAACAGATGTTTACCTTTCTATTTCATATCTGTCTTTAAAGGGTTTCATAACACATCATCATTTGAATTTTTTTTTTTTTTTTTTTTGCTGAGGAAGACTGGCTCTGAGCTAATATCTATTGCCAGTCTTCCCCCCCCCGCCCCCACCCGCCAAAGCCCCAGTAGATAGTTGTATGTCATGTTGCTGTATGTGGTACGCGGCCTCAGCATGGCCGGAGAAGTGGTACATCGCTGCGCGCCCGGGATCTGAACTCCGGCCGCCAGTAGGGAAGCATGCACACTTAACCGCTAAGCCACGGGGCCGGCCCATCATTTGAATTTAAAATCATATCTTGCTCATCCTTTATCCCTGATGTTTAGTACAGTACTGATCACATATATAGTTGGTACTCAAGAAAGGTTTTTTTGAAGAAAAATCTTCAAAGTTAGGATTTGTTTTTTAAACCTAAGCAGTAATAAAGTATGAATGTTCTTTTCATTTGGTTTTTTCTTTGACTATTTTAGTAGCCAGTTAAGTTTTTTTTTTTTTTTTCAATGCTAACTTATTTGTTTTAGGATCGTTTTTACAGTGTTTTTCCAACCAGAGTTGTCAGTTATAACCGCTCTTATTGTTCAGATATGCTAGATTAGTAATAAAACCCATAAACTCACCTCACAGCAGGCTTGGGGTTATAAGAGGAAAAGATCTCAGATTTCATGCTTTTGGGCAGAAGAAAGATGACATCTAATTGATCTGAAGTGAAACGTGGTCATATTTTCTGTTTTGTCCAATGAGAAATACTTGACTAATTTATTCTTTTTTAGAATTAGATAGTGTCATTTCTGAGCCAAAATGATTAAAAGGACTGATTTACATTTATTGTTTAAAGTAATTTTGCTTTAGGCAAGGGGGATATGAATTGCTCATGTACTAATTTTTAAAGGTGGTAGCATTTTAATAAGGCCCTCTATCTGAAAACTAAGTTAATGAGTAGGCTTTATTTAGCTATTACTGTGGATTTTTTTATTACTGTGACCTATCACCACCCCACATTAAGTACTATCCTATAGTTAAGTTCCTAAAACCTTGGTATATTTTAGATTTTTGTTTATTATCTTATAAGGGAGCAAAAAAAAAAATCTCCGTATAACCTTTTTGCATAATGTTTTATCATTATTTAAAATTTTTCTTGACTGTTAGACTCATACATCTTCATATAGAATATTTGGACAGTTAGAAAATTATAAAGAAGAAATTGGGAATCATGTATCTCTCCCTACCTAGGGATAACTGCTATTAATATTTTGGATACCTCTGCCTAGGTTTTTCTTTCTTCTTGCATGTTGTATTCAAATACATGTTTTTAAAAGCTCCATCAGGATCAGGCTCTTCTCCATTTTGATTGTGTTTCTGATAGGATTTTTCTTTGTATTGGTGATAGTAGTGATGATGGTGGTTGGAATTTAAGTGGTATAAATCATAAAATTTTAACCCACGTACTCTGACTTCAGAGTCTTTGAATTTAGCCATTATATTGTGTAATTGTACTACAATTTATTTAACCATTCATGTTTTGTTGAACATTTACTTTATTTTCCACAACGTTTTATGTTACTTTTTGTTGGTATTTCTGAATGTGACCTTAGGATAAAATCCTAGAAACAGATGTACCAGTTAAAGGTTTGTATAAAGATTTATATGTTAGTGGGCACTGTGTAAATTCTGCCTATTAACTCAAAAACAGATTAATAGACAATAAACAATCCCTGAAAACCTAATAGCACATTTAAGCCAAACAACTTTTCATTAGAAAAGCAATTTAGTTTTCCTGTCAGTTAATCTAGGGTGAAGAACTTGTGCTTTTCTGTTTTTGCCAGACGTTATATCTTGCTACGTTTCTCATGTTCCTTCCATATTATTTCATCGCTGATTACTGTGTTCAGGTTGCTTAAACAAAATGTTATATATGCCATTAATGTTTTTAGACAAAGCTCATAGAAAGATGCAAAATTAAAAGCTCAAGCGTTCGTATATGCTTATCCTTAAACTAATCAAAAGTAACTAAAGAAATCTAATGAACAAAATAGGAGACAATTGTGGTCAAATCTAAAATGAATTGCAGCTGGATGCTACTCCAAAATGTTAATAGTTGTTTTACTGGGCTTGTGGAATTGTTAGTAGTTTTTTCTCCTTTTCTGTGGTTTTTAAGTTTGCATAATTTGAGTATATAATTTTAAATAACAAAAGAATAGCTTTGATAACATTTTTAACATATGCATTGCTAAAATATAAGATTTCTTTATCAAAGAACATTTTAAAATTCTCCCATCATGCTAAAATAAACTAATAAACTAATTCAAAACTTCTTTTGTTGGGGGCCAGCCATGTGGCCTAGTGGTAAAGTTCTGTGCGCACTGCTTGGCGGCCTAGGTTTGTGGGCCCGGATCCCGGGTGCAGACCTATAGCACTCATCAGCCATGCTGTGGTGGCGACCTGCCTACAAAATAGGAAGATTGGCATAGATATTAGTTCAGTGCGAATCTTCCTCAGGAAAAAAAAAAAAAAAGGTTTGCAGAACTATGCTAAGTTTTCTGTGCCTCAGAATTAATACCGGAAGAACGGACAAGGGGATAAATAAATGAATAAATGTATTCTTAATCAAAATGAGGTATATTATTGTTTAATATACAGAATATAAGTAGAATTAACCCAAGTCAGTACAGTAAAACACTGGGTTGTGTAACCATTTTGTGTTTGTTGAGATATAGATTTTTAAGTAAGCTTTATTTTATAATTCTTAAATGACTCCTCAATTATATTAGAATTCAGTAAAGACAACCTGATCCAAATAGTTGTCACCATTAAAAGCATGATTACTTTATAATTACTACTGATAACTACTACTACTACAGTTCATGCTAGTTTATGACTTTTAATCTCTTGAGTATCTTAGCTAACCCTGAGTTACTGGCTTAAGTTTTATACCCCAGTTGGATGAGGCAAGGTTCTAACCTAGGCCTTTTCTTTAAACCTTTTTAGTCCAATGTTGTCTTCTGTTCAATTTGCTTATGATTTTTGAGAATTGCTTGAGTCATTTTTTTTAACTCTCTGGAACAAATAAATATATTTCTTGAATTTTTTTACTCTTCTCAATTTTGATCATGCATTTTGAAAGAATGTTTGCTGGATACCAGTATTTAGCCAACACCTTTCTAATAATTTAGCATTAATTGTCATAACACATTGGGAGAACTATTATGAAAATTAGCTAAAAATAGCAGTTAACTGGCTTTGACATATTTAATTTTAAGTGACAGTAGATTCTCAGATATATTTTTAAAGTTTAATTGCTTACTCCCTGATAAAATAACAGCTTTTAGTTTTCAGAGCATTTTCATGTGTATTATCATCTTACTAAACCTTATGACAATCCATGTCATAGAACAGTATAGGTATTATAATTATTTAGTAATTGAGAAAACCTGAATTCCAAAGAAATTAAATGTCACAAGGCTACTTTGTTCCAGAGCAAGGGCTAGAATGTGCATTTATAAATTTAAAATTTCTTAGCCATTTTATGAATTTTATTGCTTAATTTTAGAAGTAACACCAGATTTTTAAAAATTTTTTTGCTTAAATAAAAAAAGCTTATAAAGGTTTGTACCTTTAAAATTATTAGCCCTGTAGTGGTTACTTTAAATTATTTTAGAATGAACCCATGAAAATATTTGTCATTTTTACTTGGCTGACACTGTTTCTTCCCAAATAATTATACTGTAATAGGAAAAGTAATAGCAAATAGTTATCTCATTTCTTTAGGGGAAAAAACAAACAAACAAACAAAACCCTTCAGGACTTTGTTTTGTAGTGTGCTAAGTTTCACTTAACATTTATTTCACAGATATTATTGTTTATGAAATTTTAAAAGCATGTTGTTAGCGACTGTCATTGATTGAGCATATCCCCTCCCTAAGTCTCATGTGCATGATTGGAATCCTTCCAAATAATTAGCAAGTTTAGGCTAATTTATTCATTCACTCATTCAAGAAGGTAATGGACTACTGTCTTCCTTCTTTTGTTCCCCTGTATCACACAGCACAGCATAGTCCTTGGTACATACTCCTTTTTTTTTTTTTTAACTTGCAAAGTGATACTTCTGTTGATTTGCATTTTCTTCCTAATAATTTCTATGTACATATATCACTTTTAGTTATAATTAAAAGTGCCATTATAATTAGATATCTCTCTCACATGGCTTGGTCATTAGCTTTCTAATTCCTCCTAAGATTGTTCTATAAGAAAGCCCATTTTGCTCATAAAGTTGATTTTTTTAAAAAAAATTTCGTATTGTTTTGTTTTTGACATGACTTGCTAATCATATACATTTGAATTTGGCGACTTGCCATTCATAGTGATGGTGATGGTAGATGCTTATTGATTTGCTAAATACTTGTTAGAGAAAGTGAAAGTATCTTATTTTGTTGTTGTTTTTTATATTCTGGCAACTAATGAGTTGGGGATTATTTCCATTAGGCAACTGAAGAGGATACTTCCAGTTCTCTAGTGAAAGATCATCTTTTCCAGCAAGAGACAGTTGTCACCAGTGAGCCTTATAGAAGCTCAAGACCTTCTCCTTTTGAAGATCTGAATGCCAGAAGAGTCTACTTGCAAAGCCAAGCCAATCAGGTGAGAAGATAAATATTTTTCAGTGTATTATTCATATGTATAGAAATTGGATGTATTAGAGAAGGACATTAAGACCATCTGCCCTTCATCGGAAAAAATAAACAACAACAGAAACCCAGGAGACTATGATTTATAGTGAATCAAATCCAGAATGGGACAATAAATATATAGGCCATAAAGTCCTATACAAGTGTAATAATTGAGCCATAAATTTGACTTCAAATTTTTTGATCACAGAGGTGAAAAGGGGAAATGTGTTAGTTCCATTTTCATTATCCAGGAGGAAATAGCATTTCAGCGTCTAAGGAAGCAAAAGTTTCCCTAGCCTTACTCTACGAGAAACTTCTCATATGAGAGATATTATGAAAAAATGTCCTCAACAAACATATCTGTGTCAAATACACTGACAATTTTCATCAAGTTCTTTCTTGTAGCTTACCTCAGAAACTTATAATGTACTCCTAAATCAACTCAATGAAAGGGTTTACATTGGGCACTAAGGATACAGTCTTCTGATGTTTCCAGCTTGGTCTAAAAATGAACCTTGGTTGTAGGGTATAACCCTATTTTTGTGCCACTCACAAGTGTTATCAAATCTATCAGAAGACTGTTCTTGACCCTAAGTCTCTTAATGATATGAATAAATGGCTTTTGTTGTTAAATAAACATTCATAACTGTTACTCTGTGAGAACTCATGTAGTTTAAACCATACCCAGTATATGTCTACAAAATCAAAGGCCAATCAAAGTGGTTTTAAAAAAATGTTTTAAAATATCTATTCTTCTTGATAGACGATATCTATAAGATGTATTAGTGTTGTGGCAGAGTGGCTATGCCTAAAGTCCACTTGATTCACATTTAATGATTCTCATTTTGACCTGAGGAACTCAAACGTACTGTTTGTTAGGGAAGAAATTTGCATACATTCTAGATAGTGAGACAAATCAAATGAACAACATGATAAAGCATTCAGTTCAACAAAGTGTTGATATTAACTATGTTATACCGTATGTGTATGCCATTAACCAGACCCCATGCTTAGAGTTGAGTAATACAAAGGAAAATAAACCCTGGTTTCTGTTTTGAAGAGTTTCTGGTGAGGTGATAGATACATGCTTATAGTGTTATGGGAGCACAGGATGGGTGCATTGAACTCATTGTGGAAAATGAGTGATTTTTTTCTAGATATGCCTAAACTTTTCAAGAATGAGAAGACTTGTTAATCAATTCAAGAGAGGGGCTGGTGATGAGAATTGCGGGGGAAGAACACAGGAAGAGCAAGAGGATGAATGTTTTAGACAGAGGGAGTGTTTTTGTCAGCTTGGTCTGCCATATAAAATACCATAAATTGGGTGGCTTAAACAACAGAAATACCTTTTCTCACAATTCTGAAGGCTGGAAGTCGAAGATTAGGGTGCCAACATGGTCAATTCCTGGTGAGGGCTCTCTTCCTGGATTGCAGAGAGCCGGCTCCTCTCTGTGTCCTCACATGTTAGAGAGAGTGAACACCAGCAAGTGAATTCTTTGGTGTCTTCTGAGAAGACCAGGATCACACCCTTCATGACCTAACTACCTCCCAAAGGCCTCATCTCCAAATACCATTACATTGAGGGTTAGGATTTCATATGAATTTTGTGGGGACACAAACATTTAGTCCATAACAGGGAGCAACATTAGCAAAAGTGTGCATGATCTGGGGGAAAAACAACACAGGGTAAAAAAGAGGCAGAGAGGACAAGGGCCAGATTGTTGGGTTTTTATGTTCTGCAAAACACCTTGGACTTTATCGTATTTTTTGCATCACAAACCTGGGTACACAGTCTTGTGCCAGAAGACACAAGAAACCACAGGTTAAATACAGTTGCATTTTTATAGAGTGTCAATTTTACTGAAAAACAAAAAATTCCAAAGTGGTGTAGCAGTTTACATTCCTACCAGTGGTGGGAATTTTCTTGAAAACTTGGTGTTGCCCTTGTTTTTTTGTCCAATTTGGTTACTTTGTGGAAGTAAAGTAATACTTTATTGTGATTTTAATTTATTCGTTCTTGATGTTGAGCAACTTTTTTCATATGCCTATTGACCATTTAGAAATTCTGTTTGTGAAGTACCTGTTCAAGTTTTTTGCACATCTTATATTGAGATGTCTGTCATTTTCTTATTGATTTATAGGCATTATTTTTGTTTATTTTGGAAATAAGTTCTTTGTTGGATATATGTATTACAGATATCTTCTGCTACCCTGTGGTTTGCCTTTCACTCTCTTAATAATGCCTTTTGCCTTTTTCTTAGTTTTAATAAAAGAGAAATTTAGCAATCTTTTCCTCTATGGTGAGTGCTTTTTATGTCCTATTTAAGAAATCTTTGAGTACCCTCACCAAATCATGAAGATATTTTATTTATCTTTCAGAAGCTTTATTATTTTTCCTTTCACGTTTGATTTTTATATATGGTCGATATTAGGAGGTCAGGGTTTATTTTTTTTCCCCTGTCTGGATAGCCAATTTGTCCAGCATCATCTAGTGAAAAGTTCATGCTTTCTGAAACTTCTGCATTGTATTATCAGCTTTGTCATGCGACTATATATGTGTGGATCTGTTTCTAATCTCTATTCTGTTCCCTTAGCCTGTTTGTCTATTTCTATACCAAAGCTACACCTTTTAAATTACTGTAGCTTTATAATAATTCTGGAATCTGGGAGTTATGTCCTCCAACATTGTCTTTCAAGATTTTCTTTGTTGTTCTTGACCTATATAAATTTTAGAATCAGTTTATCAATTTCCACAAAACTCTTAGAATTTTGATTGAAATTGTATTGCATTCATAAATTAGTTTGAGAGGAGCTAACATCTTGATAACATTGAATCTTCTAATCCTTAAAATGGTATATATATATCCATTTATATATCTTTCATTAGATTTATTCTTAGGTATTTGATTTTTTGTTATTCTAAATGTTGTTAAAGAACAAAAATTCAGTGAAGTAAATTTAAAGATCTGATTGGCTTTGCTAAGCGATTCATGAATCAGCAGCATCCCCTCCCATCCAGCAAACAGGTAGGAACTGTGAGGAGTTGTACAAACTGATGGAAGGTTTTTATAGGCAGAAAGAAGGTAGGGCAAAGAAGTTAGGAGTGTATTATTTCAAAGTCACCTTCCCTTAAGGGAAGGCAAGGGGGTCTTATCAGGCAAATTATCTCGCTCGGGTTGATCAGGAAATTCCAAACTGGTCAGTTTAAAAATCTACTCCTGAGAGAGGCTGAAACTGCAATTCGGTTAGGCATTAAGTCTTGGTGGAGCTTAGCATAATTGACTCCATTTGGGCCCTGTTGTTTCTTTATAACAGTATATTTTGTATATTGACCTTGTATCCAGAGACATTGTTAAATTAAGTGTGTGTGTGTGTGTGTGTGTGTGTGTGTGTGTGTGTGGAATATCAGCTCTGAGCTAACATCCGTGCCGGTCCTCCTCTTTATGCTGAGGAAGGCTGGCCCTGGGCTAACATCTGTGCCTATCTTTCTCCACTTTATGTGGGACGCCGCCACAGCATGGCCTGACAAGCGGTGCCTTGGTGTGCGCCCGGGATCCAAACCTGGGTTGCCAGCAGTGGAGCGAGCGCACTTAACCGCTACACCATGGCGCCGGCCCCAAATTAACTTATTAACTGTATACTTCAGTCTGTAGATTCTTTAGATGTTGATTTCTTGTCTTGTTGCACTGGCTAGGACTTCTAGTGCTAGGGGGGGATTGAGGAAATTTTAATTTTGTTATGTATCTCAGGGGAAAGCTTTGTATATTCATCATTAACTATGATACTTGCTTTATGTTTTCATAGATGCCTTTAACTGATTAAGGGTATCTTTCTATTCCCACATGACTAAGTTTTAATCATATGCTTTTTCTCCAGTAATTGAGATAATCCTATTTTTTTCCTCTATTCTGTTGATTGGTAAATCGTAGTAATTGATTTGCAAGCTTTCAGTCTTGGAATAAACCCATCTTGATTCCCATGTAATATTCATTATACCTACACATATATACATACACATACATGTACACCCTAAAAAAATGGATTGATTTATTAATATTTATCTAGGATTCTTATGTCTGTTCATGAAAGAAGTTGGCATATAATTTTCCTGTCTTATAATGTCCTGATCAGGTGTTACAGTCAAGGTATGCTAGCTTCATAAAATAAATTGGGCAGTATTTCTTTTTTGCAGTTTGTGGAAGAGTGTAAGATAGGTTGTTTTTCTTTCTTAAATGTTTGGTAGGATTCCCTAGTGAAGCCATCTGGGCCTGGAGTTTTCTTTGTCAGGTGGTTTTGAACTACAGATTCAGTTTCTTTAACAGATACAGGACTATTTGGATTTTCTAATTCTTTTTGTATTAGCTATGATAAGTTGTGTTTTGCAAGAACTTTGTCTCTTTCATCTAAATTTTCAAGTTGATTCGCATAAACGTGTCTTATTTTTCATTGCTGATACTGGAAATAATGTGCCTCTCTTCCTTTGTTTTAGTTATTCTTGCTTAGGGACTTATTAATTTTATTAGCCTGTTCAACAGTTTAACTTTTGGGTTTATTTACATTTGTCTTGTCTATTTCATTCATTTTTTCCTCCTAACTTCTATTTCCCTACTTTCTTAGGATTTGGTTTTACTATTCTGTTTTAGCTTCTTGTGAAAGCTTAGTTCCATAATTTTTTTTAAGCCTTTTTTTCCCTAACCTGTATATTTTTAAGACTTTCCATATTTTACAGGATTTTATGTTTTTTATCCTTTCGTTATGGAAAATTTCAAACATCAAACGTAGAATGAATAGTGGACTTAACTGCCATGTACTGTTCTCCTTATAACATCATTCATTGGCAAAATGATGATATACCATATTTTCATTATTATTCATAAATGGATTGTTCAATTTCTAAACATTTGGGATTTTCTAGTTTTCTCTTTACAAATATTCATTCAAAGAATATACTCTGAATGATTTCGTTCTTTA